GAGGGTTTAAATAGGATTCCAACATGCATGTAGACATACGCACCGGTGTGTATAATGATCACATTCTCTGTGTTTTCCTTTACTTCCCTTTGTTCTCTCTGTCTCACACTCACATTTTTAGAAATTTGTTAATGTGCAGTTTGCATGAATACACATCACAGGGGGCATTTCGGGTTATTATTTGGGTTATTATGTTTTTGCCTTTATTACCTCGAATGACGCCATTAATCTCCTGTGTGTCATGAGACACATTTTTTAAGCAAGCAAAACATTTGTTAATTACGCTTTTTTAAGCTATGAATGCTGCTCTTGTTTGGTGGAAACTATTGTGAAAAACAGTACATTTTATTAAAGAGCACATCTGTTGTTTTTATGTGCAGCTTTTTTGGTTGGTTGACTAATTGAACAAGCGCAGAGCGTTACATTGTGTGAAATTTGTATTGCTTTGTAAAGACTTTTTGTCAGGTCTTACTCCATCATCCATATTCCTGCTGCGCACCGGAACAAATGAACTCACACACTTACTAATAATTTCTGCGTGACCACACAGGATCCTGAGGCTTTAAACAGCCTTGAACCACACAGTTATGTTGTTGAGACAACATTACTGTAACTCTTTGAGCCTAATTCAGCCAATAATTGGAGATATGTCGAATATTTCTTGGTCAACCAAATATAAAAACAGGAAAAGCCCTTTATCTTGGGTGCATCATTCAGTCTATGTCCACTGGGCAACAATTAGTTGTGTAATCTTGCATTTTGTCCAGCTCAGCATGTCCAGTTCTCTTCTACAGCAGCCCTCATGTCCCTGTTAGCTCTGTCCTCACTCTCTGTTGCTGCATCACCAGCCTCTGGGCTACAGTCATGCATTTCATGCTCTGATGACACCATAACTTACCATAGAAGAGATTATCCAGTGAGTCAAACTGCTCTCTGATCTCCATGTGTGTTTCTTTGTGTGCGTGCAGGTCTTGTCTTCCATGAATTATGTTCACATACAACTATTCTGTGTTAGAGATTTATCTTCAACATTCAGAACCAATGCTGCAGTTCAATGAGACGTTCATAAAGTGTGTGAAGGTCGGGGTGGTGGATGTGCGTATACCGTACTGTGTGCGTTTGATTTCTAGTAGTTAACGTTTAAATTTTTACACTTTAACGTCAATGTTTATATTAGTATGATATAAATTTACAGTTGCAAATAATCTGACTGGCCTGAAGTATGTGGAAACCCAAACATAACACCTATATGTGATTATTTAACATCTCATTCCAAAGCCATGGGCATTAATCTGCTGCTACACAACCCTCAACTCATTTGGGATGGCTTCCCACAAGATTATGGAACCTGGCTGCAGGGATTTGCTCCCATTCAGCCGGGGCATTAGTGAGATCAGGCATTAATGTTGGGCGATAACGCCTGCCTGACAATGGCAGGGTCAGAATGAGGAGTTACAAATAGCAGCTATTTATTGATATTATTTCATATCAGAATATTTAAAGTTATTAATTTGCTTTTCATTTATTACACTGAATAAATAATTTAACTATTAATAATGGGTAGGTATATCATTGCCAAGAACAGGGGCTTTATATTAGGGTCTTAGCCCATTTTACAAATGTGTTCCTCTTCTTTGAATCTGGGACAATTCAGGTTCTTTAACTGAGAAAACCATTTCTTTATGGACTTAGCTTCAGGGGATTGTCATGTTAAAACTAGAAAGCACCTTCCTCAAACTGCTGACAAAAAGTAGGAGGGACACTATTGTCTAAAATATCATTGCGATGTTCTAACAACTCCTTAATGGAAACTAAAGGACTTATAGTAAACCATGGGCTTTAGACCTTATACCAAAAGTACACAGAAAATATGTTGATGTCTTCTACACCGCAAAAATGTTTGCATGCTTTATGATTTTTAAAAGAAAAGCACAAAAAGCAAAGAGAGAGCCTGGGGACACTATAACATGAGGCAGTGGGGCAATTGTAAAAAAAAAAAGGTCTTCTATTAGAAAATATGCATATCTAAGATATACTGACTCGTTATAAGTTATCTTTTATGCATGAACACTACAGCTGGATGATCGGCCCTCTGATAGATAAATGTGATTATGTGGTGTCATGCATAATGATGCATTTTATCTCAACACTAAAATTATGTCTGAATAGCACTAAAATGTCAGGATTTTAATTAGATGTTGCTACGGGAGGCTTAATTATACCTGTGGTAGCTGTTTTTGTGAGTTTATGTAATAGGAACAGAATAAAATCAAACAGCATCCTCCTTGTCAGTGTGTGTTGTGGTGTCGTGTGTGTGTGTGTGTGTGTGTGTGTGTGTGTGTGTGTGTGTGTGTGTGTGTGTGTGTGTGTGCACATAAAATGTGTAAGTGTAATGTCCTTCACAACCAATTTATTATTATTTTAATCAGAAAAATTTAAAACCTCTACCAGCAAATGCTATCCACTGTATTTGAAGAAATATTGCATTTATTTTCAGTTCAGCAAAGATCATTTGTACAAACATATTTGCTCCCGTCACAAGTTTTGCATTTCGGATGCATTAAAACATAACAGATATAACCAGAGAGGGAAGGGATAATTGAAATTAAATAAATTAAGCAGTATCCATGTAGTGCTGTAATCTGAGGACAACGTATTTGTGGTCAAAGCAATCAAAATTTATGTCATGCATGTTTCTTGCAGTGCATGTTTGCTCTTAATAGTAAACTTAATCAAAAGTGACAAGAAAAAAAGATTAAATTAATAGCCATGGAATTGGATGATAGAATCCTCTCATGAATTAATAAATGTAATGCTATTTCAGGAGCAACTAATCAAGTACCATTTAATCCTATATTTACCAGGCCAACCAATTACCTTGTGGAACATTAATCAGAGAGAACATTTATAAACACATGGTTTTCTAATTACAAAAAGAAGAACAGCCTGCTCTTATTTGTTAAAAGCGTTGCCAAGTGCGCCAGAAATCTGAACTCTAATTGGAAATGACACAAAGAAGCAATGAGCTCGATTGGCTTTGACAGTGAGCAGCTTGATGAATCAGACTGGGGAGTGGGTATGACAGTCATCAGTCAACTCAATGGGGGGAGACTAAACTAGCTGCTGTAGGGTATGGTTCAGTGTGGTAGAGAGTTCATATCATGTGTACTGGGTGTTTTCCACACCCAGGAGACATGTTCAATAACTTCTGTTGGATGCTCGGGTTCCAGTCCTGAAGGACTACTGGATGTGCCAAGTTTTGATCCCAGCCTTGTTCTATTATACTGTATCTCTTTCAAATCAAGCAGGAATCGACACCGCCCTGCGAGGCCGAAATGCAATATTTGGTCCAAATCATGTTAAGACCTGAATGTGACTTTTTGACATCTTTTTTTATCATATAAAAATGACTTAGAAATAATATTTGTAGAGACAGCATGTAAAATTTGCACTAGCTACAAAATTGACCTAAAAACCAAAACCACAGTAACTGCTTTGACAGAGAGCCGAAGTGAAACTGGAACCGTTTCAGTTCCTGAAGTAAGAAAATCTTGTTCAAAATCGTTTGTATCGTTTGTAACGTTTGTAACTGCACTAAAAATCCAGTTTTGAAACAGGACCTTTCTTAACAATAGATGTGGATATTAGTACACCGACTCGCATCATGTATTTAGAAGAGTGTGGAATTTAAAAAAAAAAAAAAACAATCTAATGTTGTTTATTCAATATTTATATTTTTAACCAACGCTATTTCCCATAAGCCAATAGTTTGTGTGCTAAACGTTACAGCTCGACAAAGGAGATGAGCCCGTTAGTGAACTGACAGGTTTGCAGTTTGCTCAGATACGTCTGTAATAACAGCAGGACAGAGAGGAGTGAACTGCAACCGTTGTAGTTTCCTTTCAAGGGAGCTGTGCTTTTTTTCTGCGTTTACAAAGTAATTGTTACTTAATTTGACTGCATGCTGATTTGTCTTATAATATAGAAACAAAGCCGCAGAAACATGCTTCCGTTTTTTAGAGAGACAGATGAAAGAAATGCTGAATGAGAGACTACTGGAGGAGAGGCTAGCCCGAACGTGACTTGGGCTCTCTATTGCAGGACAGGCTGCAGTGACTGCACTCTGTTTCATTTAATCCCTGGACTGTACAACATGCTGTTGTACTTACTGCACTCTCTGCCAACTACACAGCTAAGAGCTACATCAAGTGAAGCTAGCTGCTGATGTAGCAATGACCAGCTTGAGATAAAACCAAAACTAAATTTACAGATTTATTTTTGTAATTGTTACTTGTAATTACCTATTGTGATGAACTGACATTTTGATAAGTTGTTCTGTGTATTTAAATGAGCCAGCAGTGAAATCTAGTCAGGGGTGGAACGAAAAATCCCAGCTAACCTCCTGCTAACGCTAACGCTGTTATCTTAGCAGAGTAGTAACCACCAGTTCACCTTTTCACTGTAATGATATTGTATGTAATTAGGTGGTTAAGCTACATTTAAATCAAATATATAAATGTATGAAATAGCTACTTAATTAATTTGATTGATTTCAAAATAAATGAACAGACCCATCAAATGTGACATTAATACATACATTTGATACCTGCAGACTAACCATAGAGAATATAATAATATCGCTTTCTGTGAAGATAAGGCAGAGTGCAGTGCCTGCATTTTTAGTTTCTATGGCAATGTTTCTATTTCAGTAAAATAAGTAGCCTTAAAAGAAATAAAATGAAGGCTTACAACCTTTGTGTCCCTCACACACAGCTTAATGACCAGCCTTCAAACCATTTAAAAAAAAAAAATTCCTCAACTTCACTGCTTCTGTAGTTATTGCTTTCTGTGAAAGGCAAGAAGCAAATCCAGCACACCAAATAGTTCTTTAGGACTCAAAACTTTGTTTTCTGATTTGTCAACTGAGAACTGAGAGTTAGTCACTTGTTTGGTCGGGATTGGTCGACACAGGGTGGCAGCAAACCCTGATTGGTCAGCGGTTATGAGACGAAGCCAAAAAGTGGCTGGAGGAAGAGGCCCACGGTTCCCAGGACGCACACGGTCACAAACACCCAAAGGAAGATTCTATCAATCACCATGGCAACGTACTTCCAGTCATCCTCCACCTGTGAGCGAGGCAGGGGACAAAACAAAACAGTGTGAGAAGACAGAGGAAAGTGTCAGTTGTGCCAAACGAAAGAAGAAAATTGAAGAGAGATTCTTTTGAAAAGCAGGTGAGGAAAGGTGAGACAGTGAAACAGCGAGAGAAAAACGATTCAGAATCTCAGAAGGCGGGAGGTTGTGGGAGTCCATGGGGTGAGATGAGGATTATGCAGCAAAGATAGAAAGAGGGAAAGACAGAAAAAAAGAGGGAGAGAAAAAAGAGCTGAACATTTCTTGTACGGCAAAAGAAAATTGATACATAATTTACACAGGAGGAAATTATTATGATAATCACATTCAAACCACAGCATCAAAAGAAGTGACAGGCGTTTTGACAAAGCTGATTGAGCCATGAGTTTTGCATATCAAAGGCTGCTTCTCTCCTTTGGGAGATTTCACCCACTGTATTTATAACTGATGGAGAGACAAGGGAGAGCTCTCCACTCAAATCTAAAATTATTTGGTTCTAACTTACACTATTGTTAACTTATGGAGCAGGTTAGGATTTGCTGCCGGGAATCACAGCAGGGCTCTCCCAGGCCAACATGGCTTCCAGTGTTTTTGCATGAATACATTATGCGTCGAACACACTTTCTGTGTGTGTGCTTTCTGTTAGTGACTGGAGATTTATGCAAAGTTTAGAAACACTGGAATATCATATTTCCTATGAGGTTTGATTCCAAAGTTTTCTCCGACACTATTTCCTAAAATAGTTTGAAATAGTCAAATTAGACTTAAAGTAAAAAGACTGCCTCTGTCTGGTCTTGCATTGCTGTGTGTTGCATCTTTCAAGGATAATTTTGGTTTTTATCACAAGTTAGGATTTATTTTCATAATGTATTTATAATAATAATGAATAATCATTTTATCAGTTAGATCAAAATTGATCAAGGAAACCACAACAGATATTCTTGGTAATAATTTTACTGTCTGTCTTCTCTCTTCCAAATTCATTTGGCTAACCAGAGGGTTGGTTTAAAATCTGACTAATAGGCCATTTTCACAGAGGACATATTGACATGTCACAGCTGGTCTAGATTAAGTCTTCCAACCTCAATGGCCATATGTCATCTGTCCTGTCCCTCTGATATGACCTGAATTTGCGTCCCCTCCAGAAACCACCTGGACTAAAACCTGTGTATAGCTGGACTGTGCTGCAGGCTATTTGCATTCTGCCTAGTGTGAGCAGGTTTCAGGCCCTTATCTGTTTTCTTCTGTGTCTGTGCATGTGTGTGTTTTTTTGAGGACATGTGAATACAGCAGCTACTCCAGTTACAGTGAAAATAAGAAAGACTAACCTCTTTGGCCTTGTTGCGGCTCCTCATATTCTCGGCGATGTACTTGACGCTCTCGATGGCCTGTTTAATCTCAGGTGAAACCACAGAAAAGGCCACCACTGTATTGATGCTCTGTGGACTCAGCTGGCATGTCATCTTCCCCGTATCTGGTGTTTCTGGGGTCTCCTTTCCATGCTGGCAGGGGCAAGGGCATTTTTTCCCAGTGCAGCCCTCCACGGAGGAGAGCTTGCTGTCCCCAAACTCCAGACAGTTGAGGGAGCCTCCTCCGACCTGCTGGGGGACCACAGCCAGAGTTCAGATGACGTTTCACATTCTGCTTCACCTCAAAGCAGACATTGTTTGGTAATATTTTTTTTATTTTCCAGCCAGGGGTGGCATGTCTTGGGTACATTTGTAGAATCTTAGCAAGACTTGTTTCAAGACAGCGCTTCCTCAGTGCTTACCATAAACTTGTTACTAGAGGAGAAAAGTTTTTTAGTGGATTCACCTGGCTGTACCTGCAGGAAGCAAGCAGCTAGATCCCAAGGCTTTACAGTATTAAATAGTCTGTTTTACGGTCAGACAAGTAAGCTATGAAATGGTTTGGAACACTCATTTTGTTGGTCAGGTAATCCAAGGGTTTGAGCATTACTGTAAGAAATGGCTCAGTTGCTTATCCTTGGCACTCCTCTATGTTATAACTGCCTGAGATCTAGAAAAATCAATGACTCCCACAGCTAAACATAATTAACTGATTAGATTTTACATTGAGCGATACCCATATATCACTGAGGCTGAACTCGACTAATCAAAGAAATACATATTGATTTTCTTAAACAGGAAATTAAGCCAAAACTATAGTGTTCTATAAAGCCTGGCTGCCTCTTTCCTGATATTGATTGAGACATGGTTTGTTTTTTTAATGATAATATTTAACTGTATCAATGGATATTTCTTTTCTTTTTTTTCAAATTAGTAACAAACAATTTTGAGAGAAAAACTTAATTTTCGATGTGATCAGCCTCAGAATTGCTTGGTGCCATCATGAGCCGTTGTTTGTTTTCAAGCTTGGGTGTTGTGCTTCGCCAGTGTGCATGAAGTTCAGTCACTTTCAACTTTGACCTTTGACCTTTTCCATTGTTCCACTGTTTAACAAAGGTTAAAAGGTTACAGCCTTTTGTTCAAATTTTGTCACATGTTGATGAACCCAAACAACACTTTGCCTCCGCATTGTATTTTTTGCCACACAGTCACGTACATGATCGTGTGCACAGAGCCTTAGGGACACTGCAGGACTCTGAGGGTTTGTCTCCTCACAGAATTTCTTTGAGAATTTTTTCCTTGCATAAAGAAGCTGTGACCTGTCTGAACTGTCCTTGGTGTGGGAGGTTTTTCCCCTACTCCAGATTTCTAGTTGAGCTTCAGGTGGTGTAGCCTAGTATGCTAGGGTTCTGTGGTTTATTCAGAGTTGACACTTAGGTCTGAGTTTTGCTCAAGGGGACAAGAGTATAGGGGGTAGGGTCCACCTACCTGCATCAAGCTATTCTTCCTTTTCTTCCCTCCTTTCCCTCCTCCGCCTCCTCCTCCCCCTCCAGCTCCTCCTGCCTCCCCACTGCTGTCCAACCCCCCAGCCTTGCTGTCTTCATCAATCGGTCTACGCATCAGCATAATCCTCGGCAGCACTTTGAGAAACACGGAGCGCACCCAGCCCGGCATAGTGTGGGTCATTGGCGTGCGGTAGTGTACATTCAGCACAAACACGGTGATGACGATGCTGAGTGTGACGAAGATCATTGTGAAGAGCAGGTACTCTCCAATGAGCGGGATAACCAGCGACGTGGAGGGAATGGTCTCGGTGATAACGAGCAGGAACACAGTGAGGGAGAGCAGGACGGAGATACAGAGCGTGACCTTCTCTCCACAGTCAGACGGGAGATAGAAAACCAGCACTGTGAGGAAAGAGATGAGGAGGCAGGGGATGATGAGGTTGATGGTGTAGAAGAGTGGCAGGCGCCGGATGTAAAAGGAGTATGTGATGTCTGGGTAGATCTCCTCACAGCAGTTGTACTTGATATCATGCTTGTAGCCCGGAGCGTCGATGATTTCCCACTCGCCGCTCTCCCAGAAGTCCTTCAGGTTCACCTAAGGGATGGAAAAAGATCTTAAAATCAAATCACATATCATGATGTTACAACACTTGAACAACACTGAGGGTCAACTTACCATTTATTTAAAGTGACTATGGGCCTATCAGTCAATATGATACATATAAGGCTCATGATTTTGGTTTATTACAGTTTTTTTTCTCTGATAAAATTTTAACTTTTAAGAAGGTACAAATCAACTTAAAACCAATTTTCACCTGGATTTAATGTCCACATGCACCAACGCTTGTCGCTGCAGGGGGACGCTGATCACTGTAGTTTACAGTGAATAAGGCCATCTTGTTACGGCTCTTTACAGCTCAGAAAATCTCAGAGTAGCGAAGAGGAAAATAGGTTAAAAAAAAAAAGCAAATGCCTCCACTGATTATCCACCAGAGTCCCTCGCGGTAAATGAAAAAACAAAATGGTTAAACTACAGAATGTTGCGCTCCAATTGTTACTTTCAAAATTTTATCATTTGGATTTTTTTCTGCTGGATTTACATTCAAAAGACATACTGGTAAAAGATGCTAAGGGATACTTTAGCGATTTAATATTCTGTTCATTAAACTGAGGCACTTTCAAGAGACAGATTTTAAAAAAGAATAATTAAAATGGAGAACCAGCAGAGGCTGAGATACAATGACTTTTAGTACTTAGTATGAGTCAAGCTTCAAAAACGCTGGATCCTACATCTCCCATAATGCAACTCATTAGCATTTGTCATTGAACTCACCCTGCCTCCTAAATCCCACTTTGTTCAAACTCCATGCCCCCATTTTATGACACAGTTTTTTGGGAAATTTGACAAGGTAACCTTGATGACATCACCATGACATCATTAGGTTTTTTTTCTCAGACTTTGACAAAATCCCCTGTAACAAAAACCAAAGATAATGAGCCCCGAATACATACAGGCAGGACAGACAGAGAAACGATGAAGTACAGTAGATGAATAGTTGATAGTTCCACCACATTTGGACACAGCCACTCTAACACTTATACTGACCTTGGACCCAATAAGTACCAGGTCAATCTTGGCTTTGTCATAAGTCCAGGAGCCAAACTTCATGGAGCAGTTTTGATAGTCAAAGGGGAAGTAGGTGATGTCCATGGGGCAGGAGGATTTGAAAATAGCTGGAGGAACCCAGGTGATGGTCCCATCAAACTTCAGCAGAGCCTTGGTTTTGTCCTCCACAAGGAAATCACCCACAGCACTGTATATGATGTGCGTGTGTGTGTGTGTGTGTGTGTGTGTGTGTGTAATCAAGCAGACATATTCCCATGGCAGAGAAGATATGAAAAGATATGACACAAAAGCATATGTGGGTGTTGAATAGGACACAAAGGTTAGAGGAAGGCAGAGACATCACACAATGAGAGGGGAGGCGAGGAGAAAATGAAAGCGAGGAACACAAGAGAGGGGAGAAGATAAAGAGGTGAGGTTACGGAGGTACGAAAGGGGGAATTAGAATTTAAAAACAGAGCACAATGAAACTGCGTTACACATTACTGTGAAATACAAAACTGCCTCAGATTAACATCATGCATCACTATTGTAAGTAGAAAGAGAAATGAGACCACAATTAAATGAATTAAAACGGAGTCAATGGAGCAATAGACAATCACATTAGCAAATTTAAATGTTATTAGTCTGTCACACAGTTGCATCCAGAGGTATAAAAGACAAAAGGACTTTATCTGGACATTAAAACAATATTTTGATGGTGCTGATAATATAACAAGTTCTTCTACAGGAACGACAGGAGGTTGTTTGTCATTGCCTTCCAAACGTATATGATCATTATAAAAATGATTCACGTCAGCATTTGCTGATTCTGCATCACTATGGATGAGGTGCAGTTAAGTGTAGGCAATTATAAAATACATGGTTAAAGCAGTATTGAATTTTGTCCAGTACGAAAATCTTGTTGTTCAATCTTCTAGTTTGGTTTCCACCAAAGCCTGAGGAAATTGTCTGGCTTTTTAGCTGCTAAGTGCTCCACTGTGTTCAAAGGCTAGTTGCAAACTTTGCCCATCAGCTGTTTGGTGCTTGGCAGATAGTGTTCAGATTTTTTTTTTTTTCTGAAAGCAAGTACCTGCTTTCATGGTTGATAAGAACTGTGAGAGTGAGTGAAAACCGTGAAGTTGCAGCCTGTAAAACCAAAAGAGTGAGCTGAAAGAAGCTAAATCACTCCACACAGCTGAGGGGAACTGCCGAGTTGGGTGATAATTCTCTTTGGGACCATCACTGTGAGCAATGCCTTTTACATCGCATGTAGTCATTTCACCCATTGCTAATATTAAAATATTGACTGGCGCAGTTTTAAGGTTAGAGAGAGATCTTGGTCTGGGTCAAAAGAAACCCGTGTTGACAGTTGGAAGGATACAAGATACAAAACACGTTCTCCCACCCTAACAGCTTCTTAAGGGGATTTGAGGCACTAAAGCATTATTTTATTTTGGCTTTTGTTGCCGACAGTTATTATTCATTATTTGTATTGCCACAATTTGTCATGAAAACATAAACATAGCTACGTGTAGGTGTCTGAACAAACTGCCAATGCTGTTTTTCTTTCTAGTGTCTAATAATGACCGTGGTAATGATGATGCTGTTTGAGCTTATGATAATGTTGACAGCCTCACTTGTTGTAGAGCACAATGTCAGGTCTCCAAATCTTGTTTGATGGAACTCTAATGAACTCAATCCCATCAAACTCAGCCGGCGTCCATCGCAGCTTGTAGTCGTTCCAGATCTTAAAGAGAAGAGGGGAAAAGCATTTTGAACACACTGGGGAGTCAACCATCTGTTTTGTGTTTTGCATTGTACACTGCGCACTGAATCAGTCACTAGAGAGATCCTCCTTCATGGGAATGTTTTGAATATATATATTTATACTGCAGGCACAGCTTCCTTTGATGTTTTATAGTGGAGCCAAATAAAGGTTTTGTAGGAAGAAATCCAAGATTTATAGACAGAAACACGAGTTTCATGGAGCATTGGAGTACTTTCATTGCCTGTGCACTAAAAATTGAGAAAACGTGTATTTTTTTTAATGCAATTCCCTCTGGGAATAGAGGCACAATGTAGCAGTTTTGTAAGCAAATAATAACACTTTCACAATAGTCACATCTGTATAAGGAGCAGCTAAGCGAGAAGGGGAGTTTATGAGTAAATAGCTCAATGAAAGCGATGAGGGATGAGTGCGTTCATTTGCTATTCTGTCAAAATACCTGCGGGTAACACTTCATGAGCGGTGGATCCATTAGTCTTGGCTATTTGCATGTCATTCAAGATGAATTCATTCATTAGCAAGGCGGATTAATACCCAGTTACGACCTGGGAGCTGTTTAATTAACCACTTCATGCTGCACTGGTTCTCCATTTATCCATCCTGGCAGTTTACATTATGATTGGCTGGAGATGTTATTCCTGATAGGTCAAAGTGTACATCTTATTATCATACATACATACATACATACATACATACATACGTACATATATACATATATATAAATATATATATGTGTGTGTGTGTGTGTGTGTATTTGTATCACAATATATATGTATATAAATTTTCTATAAACATAACATTCCAGCAATGACCAAAACATCAGAGTGTTTCAACAGAGTGCCTAACAGCCAGCTGAACAGTCACCATGAAATGAATGAACATCTTAAACAGTTCTTAGTACAGACTCAGTTGGAGACTTTACAAAGAATGTTGGGAAAGTAGGGTAAATACTTTTATGTAACTTTATTCAATTTATTAATTTTTCATTTAGTGAGTATCAAAATTGTTTTAGTAACAAGAGAGTGGCTGGAATAACCACAATGCAAATTTTGTCACATTAAATTCGGCTAATTTCACTTCTTTTCATGCATGCATTGTTCCGTTATCATAGTTCCCTTAGGCATATATTAAATTACGGTACACTATCTTCAACTCTATATTTTGCCTTTCCCATTTATAAATAGTGGAACAAATTGCACCAGTACTCTGAAATTATTTTGTGATACAGAGGAGAGAGTCTGACTGCTTTTGTTTGAATCTCGACTCGATCATAATTGTTGACTCTACCTGAGAGGTTGACTGACATGCAGATGCCATCCTAAAATAAAAACACTACGAAATGAGTAAATAAATGAATAAATATATTTCACCAACTACTTAGGATGCGTACTTTTTCTAGTCATTAATTAATTGCTGTTTCATCAATAGCATTGCAACCCCTCTTTGATACAGCCTTTCTGAAGCATGAGGTTTTGCCCCCCTACTCACCCCATTCATTTTCATACAGTCCATTGTGCAACAGAGAGGAAAACATGAAATACAAAGAGTATGTGCAGCTGTATCGTATTTTGCTAGTTAAAATGAAGTTCTCTTATCCCTTACATAAAAGTCGACAAAGGAGCTGGGTTTTAAGGAGCACAAAGTGAACACATTTAGAAACACTGTGCACTGTTACAGAAGGAATCCCCTGCAGTGTCTCTGCAGAACAGATGCAATAAATTCATCTCAAATGGCTTCCACTGTAAACCCACTGGCTGCGATTCAAAGTCTTTATGAGTGACTGTGGTGTTGACACAGCTTCTCATTAGTGATGCCTTGTTATAAATAAACAGCTAAGCCATTACAAACAACAAATGAGATCAGCCTGTACAGGCCATTTAATGCATTTTAATTGGAGAGCTCAGAGATCACAGAATCATCTTATCCACCACTGAATCACATCAGCATCCAACTGCGGCTCTACCATGTGGTGCAATTAGTCTGTGATTTAAATCATTGCGGTCCATAATGTTTATAGTTAGTTTTTTTTTTTTCGATAAGAGAAATATAGATCGAGAATGGGTGAAAAGGAGAAGAAAAAGAGACGCCACACTTTTGAAGACAAAGAGAAAACAGGTTATTTTGGAGGATAGCTGTCTGTGTGAGGTCAGGAGTTCAGGGTCTATAGGGCAATAGATCTGCTGAGAGGCAGAACGTGACTAACCATAATACTAACATTGATCACCAGCTGCTTGCATCCAAGTGTCTATCTGAGATTTCCTTGTTTCCTTCTTCACTTGTTTCCCCCTCTCCTTTATGCTCACTGTGTTTAACATTTCAGGGATGTACGACATTCACACACACACACACACACACACACACACACACACACACACACACACACACAGACGCCAAAGCACACAGAGTCTGCTTAGTATGTATAGATATGTGCTAACACACGACCCCTCCTCAGGCTTCACTTACCTCTGTCTCCGCAGACCCCAGGATGGGGTCGGATCAGTGAAATAGTTAATATATGTTGTGTTTGTATGTTTGTATATGTGTGTGTGTGTGTGTGTGTGTGTGTGTGTGTGTGTGTGTGTGTGTGTGTGTGTGTGTGTGTGTGTGTGTCACACACACACACACTGCACACACAACAACACACACACACAACCACACAGACCACCACACACACAACACAACACACACGACCACACACACAACACAGCACACACCCACACACACATATACAGAAACATACAAAACACAACATTATTAACATTCACGGATCCGACCCATCCTGGGGCTCTGCGGAGACAGAGGTAAGTTAAGCCTGAGGAGGGGGTCGTGCTGTTAGCACATATTATCACATACTAAGCCAACTCTGTTGTGCTTTGGCGCTCTGTGTGTGTGGTGTGTGGTGCTGTGTGTGTGTGTGTGTTGTGTGTAGTGTGTGAATGTCGTACATCCCTGAAATTGTCATAACACACAGTGAGCATAAAGAGGAGAGCGGGGAAACCAAGTGACAGAAGGAAACAAGGAAATCTCAGTATAGACACTTGGATGCAAGTCACTGGTGATCACCAGTTTTAGATAGCAGTCAGGTCCGACTGGTTAGTCAAGATCTTCTGCTCTCTCCTCTTCAGACGATAGTCTACGGCCTAGCCATCACTAACTAGTATCCCCTGAACTGCTGACCTCCACACGACATATGCCTGTGAGCAAAGAATAATCGGCTGGTGGTCTGTCAGGCCTCTCTATGTCTCTGAGTTCACTACGAAGAAACTCGTGAGTCGTACTTGCTGTGTCTCTACTTCGCTGTGCTTGTATTCACCAACCATCAGTTCATATCTGAGGTGTGAATATTTCTGCTCACATTATCAGAAGAAAAAAATATATAGATTGATCTAAAGCGATCACTTATAGTTTCAGTGTCGCTTATGTGCGCACGCGCCAATGATATTCAACTTCAAGATATAGACAGTTTTAGACTCTGCAAACAGTAATATGGGATGAAGAAGTCTTACTCCATGTGTTGTGTGAGTTGTGACGTATGCATGTGATTAACGATACAGTGTCCAATTTAATGTTTAATGAGAATGAACAATGTGATGCAAAATCACCATAGACGCTGTACTGGGTCAAAATTTAAAGATGGCATTAGAATTGGAGCGCTGTGGAGCGTGGGCTGATCTAGGTGGGCCGGTGCTGGTGCTGGTCTGATGCATCATAGTGCGCTCTCTAGTCGCCTTGGTGGTTAGTTTATGAAGACCAGAGCCATTCAGACCGTAATGCCTGAGATAGGCCGCGCGGGTGTGCACCGGACGAGCTGCCACTGCGCTCGATGAACGCACACATGGAGATCTCGACTAGCCCAGTGATGCGTCTTTACACTCAGTGCGGAAGGCGTGTCAGTCTCCTAGCAGAATGAATCCATTATAGTACTATGTGCGGTGTACTGTTGTCTCTGCGGCAGAGGCAACCAAGTGGCTAAGGTGGCGCACAATAGTTTCCATCTCATGTGGTGGAGTTAACTAGTCGACGGACTACCGAGGTCTCGTCACTGTCTGAGTAACATGTAGTGTCAGTCACCCTCTCCTGTGACCGTCCTTTTTCAATGACGGCCAGCTCCCGCTTTGGTGGCTCCACCTTTACCTATACAGATGAGGCTGATAACAGAGACACACTTTCCAGTATTTTTGATTTAAACATGAAGACAATTAACAGCAAATTGATGGACTCACATGGCTCGTGGGCCGAGAGTGCGGTGGGGTCTGCATTTCGATGGGTTGTTGCGGTCCGCGGGCTCGGCTCTGAGCTCTGCTTTGCCATGGGCAGAGCTCAAGATGCCTCTGTATGAATGAATGGGGTTAGTAGTGGGCGGGAATAACCATGGCATGCCGTTCAGAAAAAAGGGCTCGTATCAAAGAGGGGTTGCAATGTATTGTAATAGAAGACAGCAATTAATTAATGATAGAAAAAGTACGGGCATCTCTAAGTAGTTGGTGAAATAATTTATTCGATTTATTGTACTCAGTTTGTTAGTGGTTTTATTTAGATGTGGCATCTGCATGTCAGTCAACCTGTCAGTGTAGAGTCAACAAATTATGATCGGTCGAGATATTCAACAAAAGCCAGTCAGACTCTCTGTGCGTCCTGTAATGGCACAAGAAAGGGGAGGAGTAGACTCGCGACTCGCGGCGGATTTGCGGTCTAGTTCTGCCTCTGAGCTAGTGATTTATGTACAGCTTGTGTGGGCAAAAGGGCGGCAGGGGGGGGGGGAGTCCTGGGCGGAGTGTAGGTGGTACCGTATGACCTGTTCCGCATTAGGAGTTATATATGCCTTCATCATAAGTGGCGAAGGTGACAACATTATACACCTATGATAGACTAAGATGTGAATGTCACAAGTAACGGGAAAAAAGACCAACGACTGCCCAACCCCCAATCTACGAAAAACGTTTGATGCCGAAGTCCAGACGGAAGTGTTGAGGTAATACTAGGGGACGGCAACATACGCGTCGATACACAGACTATGTAGTATACAATATGGCTCAGGACCACACCATGCTCTTTCTCTTGAAGATCGAATGTCTCTCACACTCACCAAAAAACAGATAACCTAAAAATTTTTGGGCCCATCTCTATGTGATGAGGTGTGATAGAATTTTCCACACACCATACTTGTTAGATTTAACTGGAGAATAATCTTTTTGAGTGGGCGGCGCTGAGTGGAGAGGGCTGTGTGGACAGGTTGATAGACTAAGCTTGTCTTATTGTATGAGACAGGCTGACATATTAGCCCCTACCTTTCCAACAATTCCTTTTGTCAACTAGGTCACTCCGACTGAAGTCTGTACTAGAAACTGGTTTTAAGATGTACCATTTTTGAGGATCGATATTCAAATGGGGACTGTTCAGCTGGCTGTTAAGGCATCCTGGTTGAGAGGACCGCACTCGCTGGAGTTGGGTAGATGTGACGCCTGGACGATGGTTACTCGTGACTCAGGAGAATTATTATATAACATATATTAGTAATATACCACAATATCCACACACACGCACGACGACACACACACGCCACTTACGTAGTCATTTGTATATTACTGGTATATATGTTACGTATGTATGTATGTATGTATGTATGATAATCAGTGTACACCCTTGACCTATCAAGGAATAACAATAATCCAAGCCAAATATATGGTAACTGCCAGGATGGATCACTAATAAGTGCGACGATACTCGAGGTCGTCCTGCGCATGAGAGAGTCGCTGTTTAAGTCTCAACTGTGACAGCTGGGCGGGGTGGGTGGAAGCTGGCTATGTCTCCCGGCGCTTGGGCTAATGAACGCAGCCTATCGGTCGTTGCGCGTGAATTGACCTTCGTCATAAATAATGCACATGAGTAAGAATGGGATGTCAACCGAGCTCATGAAGTGCCTTATTTACACCTAGTGTGAACCTGCTCACAAGGTAATTTTGACGAATCAGCCGAAAATGAAACGCCACTCATCCCCTGACGAGATATATGTCCTTATTGTCCAAGTTTTCTCACACACGATAATATCGGTACTCGCCTTACTCGTACCGCTCTGAGCCTGCGTCCACAGTCTTGCCAAGTAAATACGATATGCTCTAGCATCCTTAGTGCCATTAAGCGTGAGTCGCGTTCTATTTTCCTTGATTACCCAAACCTGCTACATTGTGCCTCTATTCCAGAGGGAATTGCAATTAAAAAAAATACACAGCATGACTCTATCTCATTTTTTAGTGCCATACGATGAGTTAAAATGAAAGTACTTCTCAATAGTCTACAGAACACCAGTAGTATTTCATACGAGACTCAACATAAACAATTCGTTGAGTTTCATATCCTGACTGCAAGAAGAGGAGCGTGTTGAATTGGTGGCGTCAGCGAAGTAAGACGGGCAGAGAGGAGAGGGCCCCGTGCAGTAGGTACAGAGGTATGTGAGTATAATTCAAAACCATTCCCACTGGCTAAGGGGGAGGATTCTCGGTGACTGGATTCAGGCGCATGTACAATGCACAAAAAACAGACTCGTGACCCTCCCAGTGTGGTGTCAACAAGAGCTCGCTTGGGTTCGCGGTCTACTCTTTCTCTTTAGCATGCGATCGCGGGCGAAGCACAAGTGCACTCTGACAATTCGTGCGACGGCACGCGCTGGGAGTTTGATGGGATTGAGATTCATTAGAGTTCCCATCAAACAACGATTTGGAGACCTGACATTGTGCCTACCAAACAAGTGAGGCTGTCAAAAATTATCATACTCAAACAGGAGCAT